CCTATCTCCGGTTGTAGCCAACATCTTCATGGAGAAATTTGAGACGGACGCCATCCAGACTGCCACTCTACGCCCGACCTTATGGAAGAGGTACGTAGACGACACTTTTGTCATCTGGCCACATGGCCGGCCTGCTCTAGACCAATTTCTCGACCACATCAATTCCATACACCCAGCCATCAGATTCACCATGGAAGTCGAAAATGATGGCAAGCTACCCTTTTTGGATGTCCTAATCAAAAGGAGACCTGATGGTTCAATGAGCCACTCTGTCTACAGGAAAGCCACCCACACGGATGCTTATCTAAAACCGGATTCCCACCACCATCCATCCCAGAAGAATTCCCTCATCAAGACTCTATATCATAGAGCCCAATGCATCTCCGACCATGAACACATTTCCAGTGAACTCAAACACGTACGCCAAGCTCTTAAGGCTAATGGTTACTCCGACTACACAATCCGCAAAGCCATCACTCCAACCATCAAGAAGGATCCTGTTGAGGAGCCTTTCAAGACCATCACCTTACCCTACATTGCTGGGGTCACAAAAAAGATCTCCAAAATCCTGATTAAACACAAGATCCAGGTCCGATTCAACACAGTACATAAAATCCGTGATCTGGTCCCGTCTGTAAAAGATGTGGTTCCAGACATACAGTACCCTGGCGTCTACAAACTAAGTTTCCTCTGTGGTAGCAGTTACATTGGAGAAACCAAACGACATGTCTCGGACCGCATCCGTGAACATAAGGCAGACCTGAAACACGGTAGGACAAACACCTCAGCCGTGGCAGATCACTGTTACAATTCAGTGGGCTCACATGACATTGACTTCTCCAAGACAGAGGTTCTCTGCAAGCCATCTGGCTATCATGAGAGATTCGTTCATGAGGCGATCCACATATACAAACACAAAGACAATTTCAACCGAGAAGATGGATTCTGGCTTAGCAATCATTGGAAGGACGTAATAAACCATTTCGGATCTTAACTGATTGTGTTCACGTTAACGGTGACTTTCAGACCGCGTTCCACTCACTGGCATGGTGCAGTGTGCAGAGTAATGTATGGGGTCGTAATTGTACAGTAAACATATAGCAGTATGATACACATTAGGGTGGGTAGAATAATACATAGTGTTATATTAAAATGGATAAGGCAGCAACTGCAGCAGCAGCAGCAAGTGCAGCAGCAGCAGCAAGTGCAGCAGCAGCAGCAAGTGCAGCAGCAGCAGCAAGTGCAGCAGCAGCAGCAACTGCAGCAGCAGCAGCAGCAACTGCAGCAGCAGCAGAAACTGCAGCAGCAGCAGCAGAAACTGCAGCAGCAGCAGCAACTGCTGCAGCAGCAGTAACTGCAGCTCCCTTTGATGCTGTTAATCCTGCATAATGCACATGCATATGCATTACTAATTACATTCCTGCATTTCCCATAAATATGCTAAATTCCTGTTGATATGCAAATTCCTTTGTCAATGCGCCCAGCTTATATATATGCTCCAAGCCCGTGTGCTGTTTCATTCAGACTCTGTCGCCTCGACGGACCTGGTTTTCACCTGAGGACGGCTGCTTGCGTTGTGGCCGAAACGTCGTGAGAATTGTTTTATTATCTTTTATTTTTATTATTTTATTACTTCCCTTCTACGTGACTTTACCGAAAGAACCAAGAAGAGGTAAAAAACCGCTAGAATTTGCTTCAAAACATGAGATGCTCATATATTAGACGAATACATGCAGAAATACTGCAGAAAATGGACATGCAGGGCACCAGATAGAAAACATAGGAATGTGATCGATCTGGTAATGATCGATAGACGCTGGAAAACATCAGTTCGACTATACAGAACATTCCAAGGAGCTGATGTGTCTTTGGACCACAGCTTGGTACTATGCAACTTACGACTAAAAATAAAAAGGTATATCTAGAATGCAATATGATACGAAGAGGAACACAGAGTCACTCGAACTAGGAGATAAGGAGGAAATATGAAGAAGAAAGATCGAGTAGAATCAGGGGGCAGAAATAGAACACCTTAGCATAGACACCAAGGCATTATCACTAATGAAGATAGTGGAGAAAGCTGTAGAAGCATGAATACCCTTAGTAGTAAAACCCCAAAAAATGTAAATAGCACAAGAATCGAGCAAAAATAAGGCTAAAGATAAAGGAATAGCAGGAGATGGTGACGAAGTACAAAAAGCTATGCAATGAAGGACATTAGCAATGAAGGGTGAGCAGGAAGGGTGGGAAAAGCAATGTAGCGTCTTATAATACTACGCTGGAAAATACAAGACCAGAGAGGTCTACAAACTCGTCAAGAGCACAAATAGGAAGTGGTAACCACAGCAAACAGCGATAAAAGATGGTAAGATCTTGATGGACAAAAAAAAATACATGGACTAAGTATTGCAGCGATTTGTATAGAGAATAGAATTGGTGGATGAACTAGAAATTATAGCCCTACCACCAGGAGATGAAGAAAACGATAAATTATCGTATGACGAAATTGAAAATTCAATAAAACATCTGAAGAAGAACAAAAGTCTCAGAGTGGGCATGTGCGGAAAAATGATAAAAGCTGGAGGGGAAGGATTTGTAAAACAAATCCACGAGCTATGCAAGCAAGTATGGAGAGAAGAAAAAATACCAGAGGAGTAGACAAAATCCATATTTGTGATGATACCCAACAAAGGAAATCTCACCGATGGTAAAAATTACAGAACCATCGCACTAATAAGCCACATGAGGAAAGTATTCTTGATAATACTATTAAATAGATTCAAAGCACAGGCTGAGGAATGTTTGGTGGATGAACAGCCAGAGTTTAGGAAATATAGGAAGAGTACATAAGGCTCATATCAGAAAAAGACTAGGCTGGTTTACAGCTGTTTCATAGATTTCTAGACAGCATTAGATTCCAGCAAGCAAGATATAACATGGTCAACGTTAAGATCATCCAGAGTACGGAAAAGTCTGACAGATTCTGCAGGATATAGGTGAAAGGTCAAAGTCGTCATTAAAAGTTGTACAGGAAGAATTAAAATAGGTATGAAACAAGGAAATTCACTGTCACCAAACAACGTTGTCCCGTACTCGAAAAGAGTTATTGTAAGGAATATCTGTGCAAGGACTAATAAAAAATATACCTGAGATTCGTGGATGACATGGAAGAAAGCTGAATTGTACTGCAGGAAAGTGTTCATATGCAAAGTTAAGATAAAATACAAGACTGAGGAATAACGTGAAAAAGACAGGCGATGATGTTCGGAAGGAAGGAAATTGAGAATGAAGAAATAATAGAAAGCAGCATGATTATGAATGTCAAGGAATTTGAATTTTAGAGAAGTCTACTGACATAGGACAACCACTGCATGAAAGACAAGAGCGATGATCGCAAAGGCTAAATGAGTAATTGCAGGATGCAAAAACATCTGGAGAAGAAAATCTGCTACAAGAAAAACCTGATCATCTTAAGAACACACGAGGTCAGTACAGCCTTGTATGTCTGCAAGACATGAACATTGAAAAAGACTGACCGAGAAAAGATATTGGCATTCGAAATGTACTATGGAAGGATACTGCATCTAAAGTACATCTACAGTGACCAACGTAGACAAAAGAAAAATGTTGTTCATAGAAGACCTGATGCAGGCAATGATGAGAAGGAAACTGTCACTTTTTGGACACATATGTAAGATGGACAATAACAGGAACATTTAAAGTGTGCTCAGAAGAATGGAAGTAACCTGAAAAAGAAGAAGAGCGAATAGAGAATGTAATGACGTCATAAAATATTCGTGCCAGAAAGATGTGCCACTACCTGAGCATATTGGCACAAGACAGAAGAAAGTGGAAACACATGACGAAATGTGAAGTAGAAACCGAAAGACTATCTGCCCATGGACGGTGATGGTGGTGAAGGTTATATTTATTAGTAATTGATCTCACACGGAGCGTATGAACTCGATAATTCACACTGATACAGATTGCTTTTGATGTGATGGATAATAGCTTAACCATTCCAAACCTCTTTTCCACTGTACAACTGAGCCAAACTGGGGCCATGCTGAGCCAGCCTGGAACAGCTCAGGAGGCACCAGGTCTTTTCAACTGCAGAATCTGAGCCGTGTTACCAACATCATATGCAAATGTAATGCGAGCGTAAATGGGCAGGCCGGATGTGACGAGCCGAGAGGGAGGAGTCAGGGTCACGTGGGGGAGAGGTTATAGGATGGGGACAGGAAGACATCTGGAGCAGTCGAGGGAGTGAAGAGGGAGACCACGTTGGGTGGTCGCCTTGCCCTCAGCTTGGAGGCTGATGGGGCTCACCAGACGGCGCCAGCCAGCAGGGTGAGGAGAGAGCAGAGTGCGCGGGGCGCACAGGGTGTGCGAGGTTGCTCGGAGCAGCAGAGTAGCTGCAGAGCTAGCGGAGGGCTAGCACAGGGCGTGCGAGGTTGCACAGAGCAGCAGAGTAGCCGCAGAGCTAGCGGAGGACTAGCAGGGGGTGCGAGGTTGCACAGGCAGCAGAGTAGCTGCAGAGCGGAGCAGCAGGGTAGCTGCAGAGTACGCAGGGCGCAAGGAGAGACGACGCTGGACCGAGGAGGAGGCCAGTGGGGTGAGCGGAAGACGAACACAAATAAAGGACCAACGGAGATCAACATCGTGTGACGGAGTCCTTTATTACACAAATAATGGGTTGCCACTAATCTCAATGACCTGGTAAAGCTGTTTGACTTAAACTGACTCGTGTCATATGCAAGGAATATATCAATAACTTGCCAGTGGCCATGCGTGCCAGATTCGGACCTTTTTAGGCCAGTGTAAGCATGGTTTGATATCAGCTCGGTACAGGAAATAGCCAGAGGACAAACACTCATAATTGGAGGGCCCTACACTGAATGGCTCAGATGTCTGAGTCGGAAGGTGGTAACAGTGTAGTTGTTGGTGGGTTCCACAAGTGACCTCTGATCCTGATCCTTGATCCTCTCCTCCCTATGCAGGACTTTCAGGCTGCATCGTGTCTGCTCTGGCCTTGCTCTGTGTTTCTTTGTTCATCCTTGGTGCCTCCATCCTGAGTACACTGCGGTTTTTACGGCAGCAGCCGAATAAAGTGAAGGCCCAGGATTGTGTCGAGTGAACGGGACAGCAACAAAGAGACACCAAGGAGTATCGACACTCGGCTGTTAGAGACCACTGACGCAATTCAAGAAAGATGAATCTGACATCATATCACCTTTAGGAAACATGATGGCCACGTTCGTTCAAAAAATTGCCGAGTTAAACTCAGAATAAATGCATTGCAAATGTTCCCTTCTATTTTAATGAATCAGTCTACGACGGATGCTGTGCTTAATCTCCACTGACTTGCAAAACTGCACCGTGTTCGATCGCCCACCACATGTCGCTTACATTGATTTGAAGGCAGCCTTTGACTCTGAACCATTCACACTGTAGTCCTCCAACATTTACCAAACAATGCAAGAAAATTTATACAATGATTCATGGCAGAAAACAAAAGTCTAGAACCTGGGCTCTGGACCTCCAGAAGCACCCTGTATAATGAACGGCAATGCTGCCAAAGCAGTGGAAGAATGTATCTACCTATCATCCGCACACTGACCGGCAATGGACAATGTAAACCTGATTTCATGCGCCGGATCGGACTGGCCTTAAGAATAATGAATGGTCTGAACCGCATCTTGTCCCAGAAACGTTTAAATCTGGGCAACAAATAGAGAGTTTACTAGTACTGTTTTTGTCAGTTTTGTTGTATGGTGCCGAGCCCTGGACAATGCTTCAAGCTGATTGGATCAGCTGCAGTCATTCCACATGCAATTTCAAAGACACTTTCTTGGCATCCGATGGTTCCACTTCGTCAGAAATGTCACCATTGTGTCTGCGACCGGTCTTTTAATGGCCTCAATCTATGCTCATCGCCTGACACAAGCGCCATGGTGATGTCACCGCCACTTAGTGGCGAATGGCGGTTGTTGTTAGTGATTGAGATCTTAATTCGAGGATGATGGTTGTCACTTTTTGGACGCTTCGCCCGTCTTGATGCGCACTCGAGCAAATTGTGGACTTCAGTTGGTGGTTGACGTTCGAAGTGGACTGCGACCCTCAAAGGAATGGCATCGCCCCTGTGATAAGTGAATCAAACAAATCACGCGCGACACTGGTATTGGCAGCAAGAGCACTTAATGAAAATGCCGTCGCAAGAGGTCACACGTTTTGGTGTGATGGTGCTTCTCTGACTATGCGTGATGAATGCATGGATTTAAATCATTCCTTCTACGGGAAGTTAAATGTCCGAGCCTGTCAGAGCTCTATTGAGGGATCCTCTGAAGAAAAGACTGAACCCATAAATAAATAACAAAACGCATATTGGATTCAATTTCAGAATTAAACATCTACTTTTGATACTCTTTATCATTATATCATCTCCTCACAGATGGTTGCCCAGTGACCTTAATCACTTTTATCCACTGAATCTAAATACTGCGCAAAAAGCCAACTACCATCTGAACAGTTTGTAGATTACAACGTTTTACCAGGACAGTCCATAATTCAGCTGTTATTATTGAAATGACCTTCGAGTTCTATGGCAAGTCCAGCAAGGCGTGATCTCTGTGGCAATTATAACCAACATAGCGCCAAATGATCGTAAACTGTCTCATGCACATTATTCACAAATGGTGCGGGTAGAAAGTAATACAAATTGTAAACATAGAGCAAAAAAAAATGTATGAACATGATTAAAATGCTTAGTACGGTTGGCTACATACGATTTGAAAGAAGTTCAACATGCAAAATGTCCGTAATATAAAAATAAACAGTTGTCACCTGGGTTTTATATTCAGTCTATGAAATGCTATCCTGCTACAGGCTTGTATATCCATGAACAGTCATAATCAATCATTCGAATTTTATAGTATGCTCATTGGTCTATATATACCTGCGTAATGTTTGCCAAAATATATAGTCATGGTTAATATCTTTTTTAATTTGTATTGGTTATTCCTGTGAGATCATGACACCTATTTAGGAATCCAGGTCAGGAGACAGTTATTTCGATTTCCTGACTCTTGTCCTGATGACGTTTAAACTGTTGTAAATTACCACGTTTTGTTGGGAGAATTTTTCTTCAACTTACAAGTGAGCTCAAAGCATAATAATTGGTGCATTAAACGTTCATGCACGTGACACAATTTCATTTGTTTAGCTGTGTCAGATGGTGGACGGTCCTAACGATTGTGCAGATTATTGCGTGGCTTACGCCAATCAACCATTTTGCACCATATTGGCTGTGAGTAGCTACGTGTTATGTATGCATATTGTCACGACTTCTGGAGAATAAAACGAGTAAAAAGAAAGCTCCTTCCTTATTCAATGATGCATATTATTTTCATGGCAGCATCCCCATGTGGTGAGATTTCATCATGTGTCTGAAATAATACAGCATCTGGCTCTCGTATGCTTTTTGGGTTGAACTGACTGTTGCTGGATATGATGTGTAATGTTTCACTCATTTTCTGCAGAAGCTCCGAGCACTTGGAGAGTAACGCGAACATCATGCCCGACAAAACACTGTACAGCCCTAAAAACACATCACCCATATCGACAGCACAGTCGCGAAAACCTACGCAGTCATATATAATTTATTTTTTATTTGAGTATTCCTTCTTCCAGTTTTGTTCTTGAATGACAAGATTCATCATTTGCACAGTTATGGATGTAAATACTTTCGACCATTACCTTTTTTGATGACGGTTGCTGAGCATTGGCCCTAAACGCCAGGCAGCCTGCAATTAACAACACTATTAAAGGTGCAATGGTTATCAAGTTTATTGAAATAAGAAAGGTTATTGTATAAACTTTGGAAAGGGTCAATAGGATGGCATTCCAAATTCGAGCAGTGTGTGGGAAGACGCAGAGAGCGAGATAAGAGTCGTGAACCGGCAGCGTGAGTGGAACAGATTAGTGCTGTTTTCACAGGGTTCGTTAAATTTGTGATTCAAGCATGGAGCTGGTCAGAGATAGTCACAATGGTCAATCTTTTCAGAAAAAAAAGTTATCTACTTGAAAATCCAAGTTGGCAGCCATTTTTCAAGATGGCAAACAATAATAAATTTTTTGCGTAAAAGACATTGTGACCGAGTTGTCCAGTATTGGATGATTTAAGAGTCGATTTTTATGTTCACGAGCATGCAATAACATAATTCACAATTTTCACAACTCATCAGATAGGTTGTATGCATAATTTTTTGGACAACGTGATGATGTGCAAACAAGTGAATACCAATGTCTTTAAAAAAAAAAGATATATTAAATGTGATATTGCCTATTTGTGGATTCAGTGCGTTCTGAGCGTTAAAAAACACCGCATTTGAATATTCTTAAACATCATGGAATTAAACGTTAATTTGATAATAGGATGTACTGTTATATGACATTACAGCTTAGGGTCAAAAGGTTTCATATGACTATGTTACATGTCCTCATTAACAATTACTGTCATGATACACGGTCTGGATTAAGCATGTGAAACTGAATAATAATGAAATTATGGAAGCTCAGGTTGAAGGGTTGAACTTAAGGATCATTCACGACCACAATAGGTATTTTTAGATCTATATTACAATTTTAAATTTACGCGACCAACATAATGTATTCAGAGGGTACAACCAAAGCACCGTCTGGCCGTTTTTGTCTATCCAGTGGCTATCATTGTGTAATAACCTTCCAGGAGACGGCTTCGGAATCAGTCCTTTTTATTTCCACTCCACCATACACTTTCCTTACTCACTCTCTGTTGCTGGCAGACAACGGAGAGAGAGGACAGACTCCGCACGAAGTCCCCTCCGCGCACGTGGCAACCCGAGGCCCCGTCCGCACGTGACCCTGCTTCTGTTATTTTCAGTCTGCTCGCGATCGTTCCCTCGCGCTCGCTCTTAAGACCTTAGTCACGTGGTTCCCCCAGCCAATCATGTATGGACAGCTCTGACCATTCTCGATGGTTCCCTGTCAATCCCGGGACCACGCCCCTCATCCGGCTCCCCATTAGCTGGGGCCCCGAATGGCTAGGCCAATCACTTCAGATGACCTGTCGTGATGACGCATGGGCCATGGTCCCAATCTCAACCCTTATTGGCTACGAGCAGGACCGGCAAGCCGATCCCCACGTGAACCCTCTATGGCTGTTATTACATCACCCCCCCCCCCCCCCCCGGTGAAAAAAATTGAGCCGTCTCGGCTGGGAAAGGGGTGAAGAACCAATTCCGTAACATCTTATTAGGGCACCAAGGTGCGTTTAACAATCAGAGGGTGTACAGGCGTTCCCGCGCCTAACAACATATAAAACAGTCACCCATAACAATTTTAAGAAAATCACAACATACATTAGGGCGCCCCTGCAGCGCGGTAACGACAGGAACTAAGCAAACGATCAAACGTTAGCGAAACGGAAGAGACTTCGACCGCGTACGCGACGCGGGACCCTCTCCGCTCCCAGCGCAAGGTCGCTTTGCTTCCGGACGAATAGGAGGTGGCAGGCTTGAAGGAGAAGTCGGTTGTTGGTGCACGGTCACGTCCAGGGCGGGCCCCGTTCGAGGGGGGCAGCAGGGGCTTCCTCAGCCCTCAGAACCTGTTCATCTGCAGGAGGCACAACACAGTCTTCCTTGGGATCAACGGGCGTGTCAAGCGGCGCGGTCGGCTCGGCAGAACCCGGCAGGTCAGCTATTGGGGATGAAGGACTGACACGCGCGTCAACATAGGGTTTTAGTCGTGAGGAATGAACATACCAACGACGTTTGCCGTATTGAACGAGGATACTCTGCAAGTTCCGAACATCCACGAGCGTCACAGGCCCCCGCCATGGCCTGTGCAGTTTAGGGGATGTGCCCGCCGGTACCTGGGGGCAGTGGAGCCACGCCAGGTCTCCCACTGACCAAGGCATGCGAGAATGCGATCGACGCGCGTACCGTTCGTTCCTCGCCTGAACACGGGCCGTCGCACACCGGGCAGCCTCTCGCGCCTCCGTTACTCGTTCAAGCGAGTCACGCACGTGGTCAGGCAGGGAGCGGGACGGTTGTTTACTCGGCGTACCCAGTTGCACATCGATGGGTGGGACATTTTCATGGCCATACATCAAAAAAAACGGTGAGTATCCCGTGGACGTGTGCGGAACCATGCGGTATGCCGCCAAGACGCCTGGTATGTGCAAGTCCCAATCGGTTTGCTTTTCACTGACCGTGTGACAAAGCATAGCGGAAAGGGTACGGTTGAATCGTTCCACCATACCATCTGTTTGTGGATGGTATGGGGAGGTGCGAACTTTCTTTGTACCTAACGCATCACAAACTTCCCTGAGCAATTTCGAGGAGAAATTTCGGCCCTGATCTGTGAGCAGCCTTTCAGGTGTTCCCTTATCCATGACGTACCCGTTCAAGAAAGCGTCGGTGATAGACGCTGCCGTTTGGTCGGGCAGAGGCCAGGCCATCGGCCATCGAGAAAAATATTCCACCCCGACCAGAAGGTATTTATTGCCCCTAGCCGACGGGGGAAACGGCCCCAGAATGTCGAGAGCCACCAATTCGTTGATACGGGACACTTCAATGGAACGCAACGGTGGAACATAGTGGTTCCGAGGCGGCTTCCTTTTCGCACAGTCATGGCAGGAGCGGACGAAATCGTTGATGTCCGCCGTCATACCGGCCCAGAAAAAATCCTTTTGCATTGCGGCAACAGTCTTTTGGATGCCGAGATGCATCAACTTATCAGCGTGCAGAGCACGGAGCAGGTCGTAGCAAAGCGAAGTAGGTACCACCAAGCGTGGTCGGTCAGACACCCCGTCGGTACACATTAGCAATCCCGACTTACCCCGGAACATCTGCCACTTCCAGCCCGCCAATTGCGATTTCTATTTTCCAATCAATTTACGTAGGGGAGACAGCGAGGCATTGGCCTCCTGCTCGCGCAACCAGACTGCGTGCGGCAGCCGTAAGGTATCATCGGTGTCCACCGACACCTGCTGGTCGTCCTCTTTCGCTTTCGCCCCTGCGTCGTCCTCATTCGCTATTGCCCCCATAACTGGGCAGGGCGACGTAGGCGGTGCGGCGCAGCGGTGCGTGCCCTTCAGGCAAGTGCACGGAGGAACGGGCGGCAGCCTTGAGAGCGCATCAGCGTTCGCATGATGGGCCCCCTTTCGGTATGTTATATCGAAGGAAAATTCCTGTAACGATTCCAACCACCGGGCCAATTGGCCTGACGGCTGATCCAATTTGAGGGAATATTGCAACGCCGCGTGATCAGTGCGGACCAGGAATTTCCATCCATACAGGTACGGTCGGTATAATCGAATAAAATGGACAATGGCCAAAAGTTCCCGCCTTGTCACGCAATATCGCGTTTCTGCAGGGGACAGAACCCTGCTGCCATACGCCACCACCCTCTCAACACCGTCCTTACGTTGCGACAAAACGGCACCAATGCCGATATCACTAGCGTCCGTATCAAGGATGAACGGCTGTGAAAAATCTGGGTAATCTAACGTAGGCGCCGTGGCGAGGTGGTCCCGAAGTGCCATGAAGGAACTTTCTTCCTCCGTCCCCCATTTAAACCTCTGATTTTTGCCAGTCAGAACGTGTAATGGTTTAGCCAACGTCGCAAAGTTCTTAACGAAGCGGCGATAATAAGAAGCGAATCCAATAAACCGCCGAACATCACCCACCGAAGTGGGTGTGGGCCACTCACGTACACACTTCGTTTTCAGAGGGTCAGTGGATACGCCGTCCGAACTGACAATATTACCCAGGTAACGGACGGAGTGTTGCAGGAGGTGGCATTTCCTCGGTTTAAAGTTAAGGTCAGCCGCACG